CCTCCTATGCCTTCCTCTTCATTAGCCAAACATAATGTTACAGAGCAACAATGAGATATTACAGAATTTGAACCATATATGCAACCCAGTGAGATGGGGGATGATTATGTGGCCAGTTACAGTGCCGGCCCACCCCTCTGTCTAGGGTAGTCTTCCCTGTCTTGTCTGCCATGACTTGCTGTTCAATAATACAATATGAAATAAGCAGGAGGCTACCCATTTAATGCTCTGATACCATGGGGTCTACACATGGCTCTAACCTTCCCTTACTGTGTTCCATGCCTCACAGATGGCATCCAAAATTATTAGTTGCTCCAGCCAGAAGCTGGGCCAAACTCTGCCCCTTGCTGCGCCTCTCACATTCATCTCACTCACTCTGCCCGTTCTCACAGGGCCTCTTTCATACCACCCTTCACTGGGCCTCTCCCAACATGCTCTGCTCTTCTTGAGTGGCCTCTTCGAGCCATCAGGCTTGCCTACTTCCACTCAGGGCAATCCCCCCACAGCCCTTCGGGTGCCTCCTGCAGCCTACTCTATGGGTGATGGTCCTTGCACAAAACTAGGCCAACTCAAGCCACTAACCCCTCACTGGGCACTAGGGTCTTTCTGCTCCCCTTCCTGGGGCCACTCTCTACCCCCTCACTGGGACCAATTCTATGCCCCTTCCCGGGGTTTGGGGTCTTACACCCCCAGGGTCTCAGATGCCTTTCCCTTGGTATGCCTGGCCCCACTGTCTGCTCTAAGACCACTGAGTAGTGGGGGCTAGGATTATAAGGCGCCCCTACCTGCCTTTCACTGGGGAGCTGCCCCAGCACAGGCAGCCCCACCAGGCCATCCTTCCCCAGCAAGGTGTAGTTTCAAGTCATACCCAGGGCCAGGAACCTCCTGCCATCCCCATAGCTCCTGCCTTTACCTCCAAGGTGTTCCTGAGCAGCTACCCAACCAGGTGTTGTTCTGCCGGTTGCCAGCAGCAGACTCCTGGCCCACCCCTAGAGCCTGAGCTAAAATGTAGTCTGCTCATCTTTCCCCTCCAATCACATGGCTCTTACTGGGTCATGTGGCTGCCTCATCAGGGCTGGCCTGCACCTGCCAGCTGCCCTGCTGTAACTCAAAGCCCTTAAAGTGACAGGCACCAAAGGTGTTCTGTCACACCCAGTAACTGGAAGACAGCAATTATTCTCTGAAGTGCCCTGCACTGGTACATGGACCTGCAAATCTCCCCCTGAGGCATCAGCACCACTACTGTCAGTAAGCAGCCTATTGGCAGAGGTTGTATTTTGTTAGCAGTTGGTATTATAAGCTCTAAACAACCTAACAACCACATCCAGTGGGCTCTTGTTAGAACCTATTAAAGGCATAGTTCCTCATATTGTCCTTCCCCAGCTAACTGGAAATATGACCAATTGATAATGAAGATTAGTAAATTGAGATTTTTGAAAGATAGGTAAGTTCCACTAATGAACAATGTTCAGTTCATCTCTGAAGTGTCCTGTAACTCTCCCATGACTCATCACCAGGGATCCTGGTTTTCTCAGATAAAAAAAAAAAAATCCCCAAGTTTCGGATTTAAAAAAGTAACCCAAAATCCACATTTCTTACATGATTAAAATAAAATATCACTATATATATTAGTGGTGTTTCATTTTAATCACCCAAAAATGTGGATTTTGGGTTACTTTTTTTAATCTGAAAATTGGGGATTTTTTTATCAGAGAAATCCAGGGTCCCTGCTCATCACCACTGCTTCTCTTTGGGGGTGGTAAAGTCATTAGTGCTTGTTTTGACTGTTGTCTGCTTAAGATATTTTTTGGCCTTCTGGGATTTGGAGTGATACTGTATTCATAGTCTACTGCAACATGTCCATTGTTCCTAGCAAGAATTCCTCTGAGCTAATGGTGTTATTGTCCTCTTTGCCCAATCTAGCACAGCTAACTCTTGGAAAGTCTTGGATAGTCTCGGCTTTTGCTGTTTTCCACAGAGTCTACAGCTCCAAGTGCAGGTTTTTGTGGACTCTAACTTTGGCCTCTACATGCCTTTCTGTCTCAGGTCATTTGTCCTATAATGTTTCTGTCTCATTCTTTGCCATGCCAATGATGTCAGACCACCAGCCACCATCTATAAATTTCAGACTGGACTATGTTACTTCTTTTGCTTGAAAAGTTCTAATTCCTTTGCCAAAATTAATTCTGGGTCTTCAGTAACTAGGGGTGTGCGAAGCGGGCCCTATTTGATTTGGATTCAGCGCAAATCAGAGACAGTGATTTGATTTGTTGATTCAGATCACTGTCCCTGATTCAATTCAGCCAAATCCAAATCTGAAGATTTGACACTGATTCAGAGAATCAACCATTCATACACAGACACAGCTTTAAATGTTTCTTCTACATGCCTCAAGGTACCAGTGTGGCTCGTGAATGCTGCAATTCTGGGGTATGTGAAGCATCCAACAGGACTGCAGGGGGCCCTCCACATGCTCAGTGGAGAACCGGGAAGTGGACCGAAAGTACTTCCACTCCACTTCTGGGTCCACCAGGGAGTATGCTGGGGGGGCCCCCCCTGCACCCCTCCTGGCTCATCAATCTGCCATGGGGGGACCCCAGGTGTGCCCCAGACCCAAGAGGCACCAGTCACCAAGCTTGGGGGTGCAGGGGCCCCCCCAGTGTGCTCCCCGGTGGACCTGGAAATGGACCGGAAGTGCTTCTGGTCCACTTCTAGGTCTGCTGCTGAGTGTGCTGGCGAAAACCCTGTGCTTCTGTGGGACACTCCATGCACCCCAGCACTGCAGCACTCATGAGCCCCTGCTACCTTGAGGTATGTAGAAAAAACATTTAAAGCTGTGTCTATGTCTGAATTGCCAAATCTTTCCAAATCTCTCCAAATCGACGTGGAGGGTTCCAACTCGATTTGGAGAGATTAAAGGGTCCTTTGATTCAATTCGGGTTTGGAGATTTGTCCACCAACCCCCCCCCCGAAAAACCCCCTGGACTCATTGCTCCTGCCAGCGGGGGCAATCCCCGCTGCCCCCGCCGCCCCACGCCATGTCGGGGGCTATGCATGAGTCCCTGAAGCCCCAAGGCTGCTGCAGGACTGGTGAGTCCCGGGGGGGTGGTTTCTTAGAGGGCCAGAGCTGGCCTGGGCGGTGCACCTGTGTGGGGGCTGGGGGAGCAAAGTGGAGTCCAGCTGCATCTCTCTGCTGCAGCCACCAGGGACTGCCCAAATCATCAAAGCTCTTCAAATCTTTTCCAAAGATTCGGAGAGCTTTGAATTGATTCGGACCTTTAAATTGGTCTACTGATTCAATTCAGATTTGGAGATTCGGCCACCGAATCGGGCTGAATCTCCTCCAAATCGAATCACCATCCGTAGCTTCGCACAGCCCTAGTGGGCATCATTCGCATGCAATTACAGAATAACACGCTATTCAAACCTACTCCAGCTGTCATTAACATTTACAGAGACTTTAATATCTGATGGGGTTTTCGCTGTTCCTGGTTTCCACTCAGGATACTTAAATAGTTTGCTTTATTCCTGGTATCATCACTCAGAGCAAACAAGTCTAAATTCCAACTTATCAACACTACATAACATGAGCCATTGCACTACTAAACAATTAGTTTCAACCACTTCTTGTGAGAGCATCAGAAAAGACACTTCCTAAGGGCAATGCCCTGTCAACCAAGGTGCCAAGAAAACAGAGCATTATTCAAAACCCAGTGGGGTCAGTGAAAATATTAACATTGACTGATGAGAAATGGATCAGAACCTATGAATCCTTAGTGGTATCCTCCTGCTTCTTTTGGGCAGTCCAAGCCAACACTCCACTACTGCAAGCTTCCTCAGAGCAATGCTCTATCAATGCTAGTCAGAAACTCCAGTACCAAGATTCCTTTACCAACTATTTATCCCCTCCACACATCATTACAGAGCATTTTTCTCAGCCAATCAACCTCTCCCTGTTTTTCTCTTTTTTGATCAGTTATCTATCCATGGGAAAAAAATCTAAGAGACAATCCCAGGTTTATTACAGCAGAGAGAGTCTTACTGTGCTTGGAGGGTTCAATGTGCATCTCCACCTTTTGGGGCCGGACAGATATGTTGTACTGGAACATATGGTTGGGATTGGTAACGCTGATCTCACAGCTTTGAGATACATATGGGATGTTAGGCAACTTCTTCTCGTGAATTGGCAAACATTCCTTTTCTCTGAGGGAAAAATGAGGTGAAGCTGACATCAGCAGGGATAAGAATGGTCAGACACAGGAGAAAAGGTGCCACAGGGAAAAAGGATGCCACGGGCAGGTCACTTACTCTGATGTCTGTGTAACCTTGTAGAAGAGTGTGAACAAGACAGAGCTGGTGACCTCTTGCCGTACTTCCCAGCTGCACAGGAGGCGATCAACACCATTGAAGAGGCAGCAGAGATTCTTGGGATGACCATCATCTCCTGAGAAAGAAAGAGGTGAGGCTTCCTCTAGGCAGACCAGGAGTGAATGAAGGGAGGACAGTTGAGGAGTGACTTTTTTGTGGCCATCGCAAAGGAGGGGGATATTTTTAGCTTCAGGCTTCTCTAGCAAAGCCTGGAGCATTATATCAGCCCATCGGTCCATCCATCCACGAAAGAATGGATACACTGCATGAATCATGAGAAGCAGACAAGACTGACAACAACAGAGTCCATATCATAGAAACCATCAGCACCTGAGGCCAGGCTGAATAAGCTACACTACTAGGGGAACTGGGCGTAAAGAGCTTGTGCTGCTCCTGTCAGTGCAAACTTGGCACCTCTTCTATGGGACTAGGCTTTGCCCCCTATCGCTACTGATCTGGTTCCCTTCACAGACATTGCATCCACTCAAGTAAAAGTTGACGGTGACACAGGGGACCTCTGGGTGAGCAGAACATAATCATCACATTCCCAGTGCTCTTCAGCTCAGCCCCAAACATCTACTGCTAGTACAGCACATAGTGCAATGCTCCTCACCCCCCAACACCTCATCCGGACCCTTATTCTCTCACATCACGCTTACCTGCTTGGGTCTTCCAAGACACCTTTGTGCTCCATGCACTGTACTGCCCAGTAAAGTTACTCTCCTGGCTTGGCTTGGCTCGGACACAAGCAACATAGGTGCTCCCCGGTACAAGGCTGTTGTGTCTAAAGAGGTATTTGGAGGTGTTTGAGACCAACACAGAGGAAGAACTCTGTCCATGGGGGGTGAGAGAGTGAAGTAAGCAGAGAAGAGAAATAATGAGACAAAAGAGAGAAGAGGAGGGGACAAGAGAGAGAGGCAATGTCAGAGATGAGTGTGAAGACATCTTTGCTTGGTCAGTTCCATGTGGTGAAGCCCAGCTACATCTGTGATCCTGGGCTAGGCCACTGTGCAATGCTGCTTGTGTGGAGTTTATTGCTTTCAAAGGAGACAGATAGCTTTGTACTTTCAGGGTCTCAGGCCTTGATCCACAGGGCTAGATGGGACAAGAAGTGTGCAAGGCACACCCCCAGCCAGCTACACCATGTCAGAGGCATCATATCTATGACATAGAGCTCCCTGAGGATTTGCATATCAACCATTCTGGCTGTAGAGGCTAGCAAGTAGATAAAGGATTTTGGTCAAAAATATTTTAAAACAAAGTGCATATTCCTGCTAACCAATATATTTGTAATTTTCTCAAGATTTGGCCGAATTGTTTTTATAAGCAATAAACCCCTAAATACATCAATACATTTGGTTTCAACATTTTCAGAACAAAGTTGAATTTTACATTTTACATCTCAAATGAAACCAAACATTTTTTATTGGCTCAAAGGAAATATTTTGTTCAAACCAAATGAAACTTTTTCTGACATTTCTCTATTCCCAAAAATGTCCATTTTGTTTCAATTTTCCAGAAATTCCGGTGAATGGAGAAGTCAGTTCTCTGCACAGGTCTAAGTTCAGGCTGTCCTCTCCATGGTACAACCTAGAACACCACAGGCCAATGCCTGCATATGTCTCATGCTTACCTCCCAGGATTCCCAGTCCCTCTTGTAGGTCACTTCATATTCTAGTGTGTTGTCTGGCCAGGTGCTTCCATTTATCCCACCAGCTGCTTCCCATGCTAGCAAGAAGTCACCTCCTTCTGTCACATTGATGAAGAGGTTTTGAGGTGGGAGTGGCTGGACTGGAAAGGTGAGGATACAATATACAATGGAACAATCAGTATGTGGGTGGGAGAGAGACATTGATAGAAAGGTCTTACAATGGAAATAAACTTGGATTCCTGGCTGGATTCAGGATCAGTATTTTTGTCTAGGGCTAAGGGATCAGGCAGAAGGAAGAAACTTTCACTGCAAAGGATCTCAAAAATGTATGGAGAGGAAAAAACCATGGCATCTCAACTTTACCATTCTGGAAGAGAATGACACGCAGTTCAGTCTGTAGCTCCTGGTTGGGTTTGAGACTGTAAATAACTTTCTGTTCTATTCCAAAAGTGGTGTGATTTTTGCGGCACACCCAGTGTGTGTGTGAGCCCTGGCAGTCAGTGCGTCCCTCCACTTGGTGGGATTCACATGGGATCACAATGCTGCAGAGAAAGAGACCCAGAAGGAAATGATTTAGGTACAAAAAAAAATCCAAAATTTGGACTTTTTGAAACTGTCCCCATGGTCTATTCTATTCTATATTGGCCTTTATACCAATTTATCACCATGTACCAACACTTTTAATATATCACATATGATTTCTTCTCTTAGCCTTTCCCCGGGGGGTGGGGGGTGTGCAGCAGGGCATTTTCTTTTAGCTGAGTGCAGGCATTTTGAAATGATCTCATGCTGCATATTTCTGCTGGAAAAAGGGTTGCTGAGAAAACATGCTGCCACTCTCTGTACTAATTCTTCTTCATCCAACAACTGAAGACCTCCAAGGACTGGGCTGTTTGTTGGTAGTGGTGTGGTGATATGTGGTGAAGAAGAGGCATCACCACATGATGACTGGTAGTGGTGGAATCCATTTAGTATGACCAAGTAATCTAATTTACTTTCATCTTATGATTCATTCTTGTGGCCCATCATGTGAGAAAGACCTTCACAGAGCATCCTTGGAAGAATCATGTCATTTCACAGGATGTTTATCTAGAGATGACCACTTTCCTGGGGCCAGATCCAAAACCTGGTGAAGTTAGTGAGAGCCCTTTCATTTACTTCAATGGACATCAGAACAACCCACTTGTGATTTCAGCATCTCTTCCATACAAAGCAATAGAATTGATCTCTTTCACCTCCCATTTGCCTGTTTTCCCCAGACTTTGACCTGTCTCTCCTCACACCTGAATCTCTTTGTTTCCATATCTGTCCTTGCCTTTCTTCCTCCCCTGCCTTTTCTTTCCCTCCTGTCCCTTGCAGTCTAAAAGCTTGGTTGCCTTTTCAGAAGAAAGCTGATGTGCTGGGGAGATACAGAAATACAGAGCCTAGCATCTCAGAGAGGAAATCTGACAGTACAGATAAACATTTCTCTCTCTCTCTCTCTCTCTCTCTCAGCCTTTCCACGCATCCGTGTTTTGTAGAACTGACATCATCAGAGATGGCTGACACTGCTATAAGGATGGGCCATAAGGAGCTGCGTAGGAAGGGGAACTGTACCTGTCTCCTCTGCTAATAAATGACTTTCACACCTACATTGTAATGCCTCCTTCTCCACACCATGTGCAGGAACCTAACATGCCCTGGCACAGCTACCACTTGCAATCCCATAGACAACCAGTGGTAATGCATCCCTATTGTATTCAACTTCCCTCCTCCCTTCTTCTTCCCAAAGCAGATGTCAAAGTTGATTTGAGCTTCCAACTCCTCCCCTCCTCCCTACACACACAGCAAGCAAGCCCAAATGGCCATATATTACTCAAAGCCTGTCTGCCAAATCAATCCATTTCTCACTTCCCACCCCTATCTTTTAGATCCGGTAGCCAAGATCCCCTCATGTCCTTCTCCAGGAGAACAGAACTCAGGCACTTACGAGTCTTCAGTGTCATCATTATAGTAAAGAGTCATATTCAGGAAATGTTGCGCCTCTGAGCATTCCTCCCACATGCAGGTCATAAGAGAAGTGTAGTCATTATAACAGGTCAGGCTCTGCTGTGGGATGCTCTCTGCAAGGGGAAAAGCAGGCACAATAGAAAACAGGGGTCATAAAGAAAAGCAGTGCGGATTAATGAAATAGATGCACACTCTGCCACCATAGTGGGGAAGGACTGAGCAGTAAGGACTAAGATGAATTCTGGAGTGAAACCCTTGCATGTTGTTTAATGCGCATATTGTAGATTTCGTGAATATATCCTTACCCTTCCAGAGGCTCACTGTTGGGAGACAATAAAGAAAGAGGGTAATCACCAGTCCTTAGAGTCTAGCTGACACAGTCCCTATGTTGCCAGTTCTCATGATTATATCATAGCTCTCATTTTATGTAAAGAGTGTAAGTTTTTAGCCTATAAATTTGTAGAGGAAAGCATGAGCAATGCTCTAGGAATGCACATCCAAGTGGCTCAAAATATGCTATAACAGTGGCGCTCACCCGTTCCTCTCCACAGACTGCCACCTTGACAGGGTATAGAGGCTTGCGTGTACTGATGATCCTAAAAGCAACACTGTTGGGAGTCTTGTACTCCTGGTAGGGTCACCCATGGCGGTAAGGCCAAAGATGAGGTATCAAAAAGCAGTCCAACATAACATAAAGACGCAATGGTGGAGCAGGCAGATGAAGATGGCATGCTTCACAATGGCTGCAAAAGCGGATGAAGGCTGCAGTATAAGAGAAACCCCAGTCATTTTGGATATCCTTGCCACTGGACACAGGTTTCTCCTCCACCAAGATCCATGTGCTTGCTGACATGCGACGGCCTCCTCACATAAAACAAGTCACATGTAGGCTTCTCCCACTGGACCCAACATCTACCAAAAATAACCAGTCACCAATACCCAAACCTCTACAAAGCCCTGCCGTAATGGATGAGTGGTGATGGGGAGAAATGAAGTGATCACCAAAAGCCCCTAGTCACAGATCCACACTCAGACAGCGGTCACGTGTTGGCCACTGCACCCTTGGAATAGGACAAGAAGGTGATTTGGCAGCTGTGAATGTGACTGAGCAGTCCCTTTTAGGATCCCCTCTGCTCACTCTGCATGGGGAGGGGGCGAGAAAAGGTGCCCCAAACATAGGCTCTCTCACCTTATCTTACCTGACTGGATAGCCGCTTCCAGAGGGATCACTCAAATTGCGGTCAAAACACAAAAATGTCCTTTGCACCTTGGAATATACAAATCCTACTAGAAAACCCAAACTGTAACAGACCTGCATGTAGAACAGCTGAGAACTCTCGCATTTAACATCAGTATTGCTGCTATCAGCAAGATCAGACATGCAAATGAATGCCATCTGAGGAAGGAGCAGGGTAGCTATATGTTCTTCTGGAAAGGGAAACCTGCAAATGCCAAGTGAATACATGATGGTGGTTTCACCATCATTCACCAGATTGTCAGCTGAATGACCAAATTTCCTGTTGGCATTAATGAGCGCCTCATGACTTTTCACCTCCAACTGACCAACAATTTGTTTTCTACCAGTATCAGTGCATATGCCCCAATACTCATTGCCAAGGAAGAACAAAAAAAACCAGTTTTATGCTGACCTTAATGAAATCCTGACTAGCATTCCAAAAGATGATAAAATCATCTTCATTGGAGATTTCAGTGCAAGAGTTGGCAGGGTCTTTAATATGTGGAGGGGCACCATTTGGAAGGAAGGAGTGAGCAAGGCCGATTCCAGCAGCATCCTCTTACTCAACTAATGTGCAGAGCATGGCCTTGTCATTATTAGCACTATCTACAGAAACATGACAGGTAGAAAACAATATGGCAACACCCCCACTCAAACCCCCCCACTCAAAAAGGTGGAGTCCCTGGTGGGACTCCACCTACCTGGTGGGACTCCACCCATGACTAGACCACGGGTATAGATGGCTATACCCTGTACAGGAGGGATCGTGTAGAGAAAAGGGGCGGGGGGTAGCTGTCTATGTTAAGGAAAGCTACACGTCCCTGCAAGCTGATATTGGCGACCAGGGTGGACGACTGGAGACCCTCTGGGTTAAAATCCATGGGAAACACAGCACAGGGGACACAATGGTAGGAGTCTACTACAGACCTCCCACCCAAAGT